GTACATTGGATTACATCACAGAGAAGTTTCCCATTCTATGCAAGGCCACCTGGGTTGGCTGGAAGCAGGGCGAAGGACACATTTCACTGCAGGGCAACCTGCATGTGGCGAATAAAGCCTTGATTGATTGATTGAGATTGGGTTCAAGGTGGGGGGGATTAAATCATTAATTAGTTCTGAGCCCCTTCATGTTTGCATTGTTGATGGACAAATTAACAGATGAGGTCAATTTGTCCAGGAGTCTCCGTGGGCTGTGATATTTGTAAATAATATTGTGATCTATAGTGAGAGTAGGGAGCAGGTGGAAGAGAGTCTGGAGAGGTGGAGGTATGCTCTGGAGAGAAGAGGAATGAAAGTCAGCAGAAGCAAGACAGACGGCATGTGTGTGAATATGAGGAAAGCAGATGAAATGGTAAAGATGTAAGGTGGTAGGTGAAAGGTAGACAAGTTTAAACACCTGGGGCCAGCACAAGAAAGGTGACGAAAAGAGTGTGAGCAGGGTGTAGTGGGTGCAGACAAGTGTCAGGTGTCTGCAGCCAAGCTGGAGGTGACAGAGTTGAAGATGATAAGATTCGTGTTAGGAGTGACGAGAAGGGATTAGAGAAGGACAGCTCAGTTTGAGCAGTGTGGAGACAATGTAAGAGTGACAAGACTAATGTAGTTTAGACATGTCCAGAGGAAGGTTATAGCAGACATGTTGGACAGGATGTTAAAAAAATTTAAATCAGGGAAAGGGAAAACTTAAAGGGTGGCTAAAGTGGTCACAGGTGTTTGACGATGTGGCTGCCGGCTGAAGTTGCAGGATGAATTCTGAAGTGTATAGGGCTGTACTCTGCTCACACTCAGCCACTTCCATTTGATTTTCAATGATAATGACCCAAAGCACATATAAAAGCAACATATAATTTTCTCCAGGCAAATGAATGGTATATTCTTCAATAACCAAGTTGGTTACTGGAGTTCAACACAACTGTGCATTTTCGTGCATGTGCATGCTTTTTAGTTACTGAGGACAAAACTGAAGGCAGAGAGAACAGATGCACAAATGAGCAGCAACAACAGGGGGCTATAGTAAAGGCCTAGCAGAGTATCTCAAGGAAGTAAACACAGCATTTGGTGATGTCTTTGGGTTCAAGACTTCAGGCAGTCATTGACTGCAAAGGATTTTCATCAACTATTAAAAACAATCTTTTATTTAAAATGAAAATTGGAGACTGTTAAAACAGCGGTAACTACTAAACAGTTAATCCAATACTTTTGTCTGTACTTTAATCACATCCTGATGTGCCTCTTTCCAAAAACCTACAGGCATAACTATAATGTCTAGCAACTTTTTCTGAAAGTGCAGACTAATAACGCTTTTATTTAGCTTGCAGCTACGTTATTATCAGTGCAAGCTAGATTAACAAACCTCAGTATATTTACATTAATATTAGAAATAGCAGTAAGCAAAGCTGATTAGATACTATTAAATGCAAAAATTGAGCAAACATTTTCCAACTTGTTAGTCTCCCTCTCTTTTCTCTTGTCTTTCTTCGACTCTCTCCCGTTTGCTAACACCAACCCGAGATAATCACCCTAAAGCAACAACCTCTATTAAATCTGTAACACTATTTTACAGTTGTAGAGCAATACAAGCCACAATGCATACAAACGATTCCAAGGCTAAATTATTCTTCACCAGCCCCGTTAGGAAGATTACGGCTTAAACAGGCACACACTTGGATATTCAATATGTACACAATTACTGCACCGACAAATGAATCACACAATGTTAAACAATGTGGCCAAGCTATTACCTATGATATATTTAATTCAAACAAACTATTTAGTAGTTAAGAGACATTGTGTGAAATTTTAAAAAAAAATTAAAGGGTAGGAATTCGTTTGGTAATTGGTTACTGTCCCTAACAATCCTTTACCCCCCAACTATCAACACTAAAGCTGTTAAGGGTGATTGTATCTAATGTTTAGACATTTCATTTCTTTAGTAAATGTTCAGAAGTGTTCAGACCCAAAAGTAAAATGTGAGGGATTTAAGTGAATTTTACATGATAGAAATACTGAAACTGAGAAAAGCAACATGATATGTGAAATCTCAACACATATCATGTTGTGTTATCTTCTCTGTCAGAAAACAAACCTCATAAGAACCGAAAACATTACTCACACGATGCTACTGTATAGTACAGTAAAACCACACTACTTTATTAGGCACGCATGTTCAACTGCTCCTTAATGCAAATATCTAATCAGCCAATCACATGGTAGCAACTCAACGCATTTAGGAATGAAGACATGGTAAAGATGACCTGCTGAGGTTCAAACTGAGCATCAGAATAGGGAATAAAGGTGTTTAAGTTACTTTACATGCGGCACGGTTGCTGGTGATATACGTGCTGGTTTGAGTATTTCGGACACTGTTGGGATTTTCTCAACCTCAAAAGCTTTACAAACTATTGTCCAAAAAAGACAAAGAAATCACATTCAAATATAAAAAAAACCCTCATGTGTGTCTATTTATTTCAACTCTTCTTACAATGTGTTGTTTATATTTGCTTTTGGAAGGACAGCTTCAGTGCTGCTACTGACAGTGTGTGACTTATCAGGCTCTTTCATACATATCTAAAAAAAGGTCTGAAGTGATTTGATTGAAAACACTAATGCAGTGAAGCTGATAAATCTGTAGTTCTGACTGACAAAAGTACAAACTGTCTCTGATGAGTTCTGAGATTTAAACAGGGACAGCAGAGCAATCGAGAAAAGCTGCAACAAGGTTGCGAGGCGCCTCACAGAAAAAGAAATACAGATGTCAACATCTGGATTCCACCAGCTGCTTGAATGAAACCAGAATGAAAATGTGTAAATAAAACTGAAAACTAGTTATACACAATAATAATGCTCAATATTGTGCTTTTAACTTCTGATGTGATGAAACTGCTAGTGTTTACTCGCCTGACAAATCCAAGCTTGAATTTCAATGTCGAGTTATGTACTTATCTTTTCATTTTATCAACCAGTCTCTTTTTCTCAGACCAAAGACCAACACCCTGGAGTCCCCTATTCTCTGTTGACACTGAGCCCGGTGTTTTGTGCATTTAATGAAGTTGGCAGCAGAGGACCAGTGAGGCGTAGTTTTCTCAAACTAAAGGCTCTGTACTCGTCTTCTTGCTCTTGCGTGTGGTCTCCCACTTTATCTTTTTCTTTGTCTGATTAGTAATATTCACTGTTTTTGGACTCACAAGTTTTTCAATTTTCTCTAGCCTAATTTATTTCCCTCTTTAATCAGCAGAGCAGCCTTCACTTATGCTAATATAATTGGAAAAACTGTTTTTCCTGTGGTCAATCAACCTTTCAACATAACGAACATGTATTAGGTAACAATTTTCACGAAAGTGATTTTTGCTGAAAATGGATCTCTTTAGTACTGTGTAGATGTCCCACTAAAATCTTTTTTTTAAATAACAGCACGCTTGTTTGATTGGTGATTTATAGCATTTATGATTTTATGATTAAATGTTTTCTCAGATTAAAACTAATTTTTATCTTTAAACAACAACAAAAATAAAAAGAACATTAGCGACGTTTCACTAGTAAAAGATATAAGTGTTAATTGAAAGCCCTACATGAAATTAACACTTCCAGGCTGATTATCAAAAGCACCAGGAAAATAAAAGGATAGGTAGCTTTGTTTGATGCATTAAGCCATTAACAGCTAGCGATGCCAGCTGGGTTTATGGAAAACATTGCTCTCCTCTGTGTTTGGTTCTGCTATGCTAATCTCTGTTCACGTCAGTTAGGATTACTATAATCAGGTCTCACACTTTAAAACTTTGTGAAAAACCAGACATAGCAAACATCCTCCCCCAAGCAGTAATCTGAAGGCTGGAGATACGAGAGCAATTTAACAATACAGATCAACTTGTCTATCCATAATTTACCTTTATTTGCAAATGCATTTGCTTTGATCTACTTGACTTAAGCAGGGAATAAATTAATCCATTGAAATGTGTGGTCCCTCAACACATAATCTGCTCTGTACTACACAAAAATTCATGATGCTAGATATACCAACTGAAACAGACTCTAGGAATGTGTGTTTGTTTACATCCCTTTGGTCTAAATGGCACAGATGTTGAACCAGGGTCCACTAATGAGCCATAAAGCCCTTAAATAATTTGAGCTGGAGACAAAAACACACAGAAGAGAAGAGAAGAGAAGAGAAGAGAAGAGAAGAGAAGAGAAGAGAAGAGAAGAGAAGAGAAGAGAAGAGAAGAGAAGAGAAG